TTATAATTAATGTTTTATTAATTATAACAAATCACCTGATTTAGATAGAGATAGATCGGCATCATATCATCTTAATTGGTCGTCTTCTAGTCTGGTCATGCTTTAAATCTTATGATTGATGGCTTAATTCCACTAGATCGGCTGTTTTATTTCTATTCCAATCAAACATAGTATGTATTCAAAGACATGTTTCAATCTTGAATAAACTTACTAGTTAATGAGATCTAATCTAATGACACTACCATAGCTGCATCGATCCGGTCGAACCTCACTGATAAGACTTTAGATTAGAAATTCTCGATTAGTGGCTTTGTTCATGATCAAGATATGTACTTTGTTTGTTTATTATGACTGCATTGGCTATTTTAGCTGATTTGCCTATACTCTCACGCATATAGTATGTTTTCATGAATCTGTCGACATATAGATGGTTTTATAGATTCTTTGGCTTTAGTTTATCATCATTATCATAGCTGTATCGATCCGATCAAACCTCACTGTTGATGATAATATATTAGATTCAAATTGTTTGTAGATTAATTTATATTAGACAGTCAATTTGTTCGCATATTATACTATTTTCATCAAACTTATCGGCTCAACACTTTTATATCGATCATGTTCCATTTAGCCGATGATGCTTTCTTGTATCGCTTCTTATGGATACGCCAGATATCGACTATTTAGTCGATAGCCTCATTGAATCGGCTATCTAGCCGTACATTTGGAACTGTTTGGTGCAACACCAACATGTTCCATCTTAAATTACTGGTAAGATTTTCTCTCCTTGTCAATTGCAGGTCAAATTGACTAGCACGTTTTTGGGTTTTCAGAATCGGATGGTTCAGTGTTGAAGCCAAGTAGATCTCTAGTCTTGTTCCACTCAGATCTTCCGGCTTGTTGTGTGTTGATCACATTGCCACATTTTTGTGTGAACAGCTGCAAAGGAAAAAATCCCTAAAAACCACGGCATCAGCGACCTTCGGTTTAGGAATCGTCTCCCCCTCCGGAGGCTTCACCTTAGCATCACCAAAGCAGCCTAACTATCGTAACTCATCGATCATGTCCTTTGTCATAAGCGAAGGTCCAAAATCCCACGTCCTGGATAAGCCAACCATGTCTCCTGCCTCCTCAGCGGTTATCAAATCAGTAATGGAGGCCTCAACTCTAGAAAGATCCTCCTCAAGCCCTAATGCCTCCGCGCTAACAATCATACACTCCTCAAACCACGCAGACCACCCACTAGACCTAACACCAAGAGGGCGACGGTATGGCCGAAAGAAGGAAGCCTGGCGCGGAGGAGGACTGATAGGCGTAGCCACTTCTAAGACTCAGCAACAGCCTAAAGGGAGCGAAGGCAAACACCAACTAAGCGCAAAGGAACAGTATAGAAAGCAACAACAGCGAAAGCGATGTCTCGGATAAGGACGGGGGGAGCCTTCACCTACCAACCTTTATATAGCCCCTGCCACGTCGCTTCGACTTCCAGGGCCAACGGTCATGTCTGTTCAAAAACATGTCGGTTCCATAGCCACCGTGGCGAATCAAATAGCGACAAATCACCAACGCAACGGTCTGATCTAGGCATCCTAGGGGGAAGGGGTAAAAGCCTCCGCGTGCGCAAGAGCCTCCACACCTCAGAACCTAAGGGCTAGGTTTTGAGGGCAAGGCCTGCCAGGGGGGAAGCCTCTGCGCCTCAAAGCTTAAGGACTATGTTTTGAGGGCAAGGCCCACCAGCATCAGACCAAGCCCAAAGGGGGAAAAGCCTCCGTGTGCGCAAGATCCTCCTCGTGCCTCAGAACCTGAAGGTTAGGTTTCAAGGGCAAGGCCCGCTAGGGGGGAAGCCTCTGCGCCTCAGAGCCTGAGGACTATGTTTTGAGGGCAAGGCCCACTAGCATTAGACCAAGCCCTCAAGGGGGGAACTATTGGGACACGGTTATGAGTCACGAAGAACAAAGTTCGCAACAGCAATAAGAACTAACAGCTAACGAGTTTTACAAATAGTGTGCAAGGAAAGGAAGCAGCGGCCTCCTCTCGGGCGATAGCGTGAGGTGAAGGCCGGGAAGCTACGGCGAAGGCACCAGGACACGGTCGGGGGTGGAGGCTCTCACGGTATGAGCGAAGGCCATGGCTCGGGCGTCAGAAGCGAAGGTCAGGAAGCTCCGGCGAAGACTTCCCAAGCGGAGGCCCCGAAACCAGGGAAACCCCTACTCAGCGGCATTACTGTGCCGTGGGCCGATGATGGGTCATCGATGATGGCCCAACAGGCAAAGGCGGTAGAGGAAGAAGATGTCCAAACTACCCTGGGGCTTGTATTAGCATAAGAATATTCCAAGAATGTACTGTAACCGACAAGGGGTAGAAAATGTAAAGTGTAGCTCTAGCAAACAGTGCCTATAAAAGGGGGACTCAAACTCTGTACAAAGGAAGAGATACATTGATGAAACTCTAATCTGGCTAGGGCCCACCTTTCATTACTCATACCTTCGCGTAGGGCACAAGGCTAGGCGAAGGCCTTCGTTGCTCTTCTTTGTCTGAATCACTAGAAATCGAACTTTCCAACACTCTACATCCGTATCGAGGCTGCCTCCACCACCTTAGCTGCTTGCCCAGCTAGGGCATGCCTAGTGAAGTGTGTCTACTTCACATTTACTTCCTCCCTAATGACCCACAACATTCATTACCTAAGCGACCAAGAGAACTTGCCTCACATCCACCCCAGCAACCGGCAAATCTGGTTCTTCCTCTGCTTCACATGGAGGGAACCATTCAAACCCCCCCTCCAAGACACGCTTCTCCCTCAAATTAGGGCCTATTTGGAATGCATGAATTTCACAGGAATAGCGCAGGAATTTCATAGGAATTAGTTCAGTTTCAGAGGAAAAATGCAGAAATAGAGAAATTTTCCCGCATTCCAAACAAACCCTTAATGGTGTCCTTCCCTTCTCGAGGACTGGATGGCAAGGCCGAGGTCAAGCTAGCGTGGTCGGGTGCTCACGAGCCTTCATTTTCTTGGTCCACTTCATAGCTCACTGATGGAGACCTGGCGTTGAACCCGGTGCGCCCGAAGTACTAGTGGCCACTAAAAAGTTTGAGCACACCTATGTGCTATTCACCTAAACTTTTTTTTGTCATCCAAGCCATTCCGTCCGCTTTTATCTTTAACAGTGTCAAACTGCGCGGCAAAAAGTCTAAACAACCCTCAGGTCTGTTTGTATAAGCGCATGGGATCTTTTAATCTTGGCCACAAATCAAGAGATGAACGATGAAGGTCCATTGCCAGTATAAGTGTATTTCTAAAGTATTTCTGAAATTACTTTTCTAAAGGAAAATGGCCATAGATCCAGAGACGCAGCGCGTGGCTGACTGGCAGCCGCCTTCGCGGAGGCGCTGGCGCGGCACGCGCTCTACTCGTGGCTCGGGCTGTGACGCGCGCTGCTCATGTCCTAGGCCAGGCCCACGCTCGTTGAGCTCGCCACCGCGAGGCGCCACTTCCTCGACCTCGGCCCGTTCATCTGCTTCGCGGGCGTCGCCGCTAACCAGTGCGTCCTTGAGGCCATGGAGTTGGAGGAGATCGCGCACGTCATCGACCTCGGCGGCGCCGATGCCGCGTCATGGCTCGAGCTGCTGCACCTGCTGACCTGCACCTCCGTCTCACCACCGTGCACGAGCACAGGGATGAGCTCACGCAAACGGTCCATGGCTCTGACCAAGGAGGCGGACCAGCGACGCGCTCGCATCACCTCCAGCTTGCAGCTGCACTGCCTCCTGGCCTCCGACAATGACCCCGGGAAGGACGGCTGCCACCACCACTCCTGCCTTCCCGGCGCCAGCAGCGCAGTGCCACCGCGAGCGCCCCACCCAGCCTCACCCCGCGGTCGCCCTGGCCGTCCCGAACGTCGGCAGCGCAAGCGCTGCCGCGAGTGCCCTACCCCACCCCGTGGCCACGCCGGCTATCCCCGGCGCCCGGTGGTGCGGGCACCGCCGCGTGCGCCCCACCCCTGTACCCACACCGTGGGCTGATGCTCGACGCCGGCGGCAACATCACCGCGGGGAACGCGCTGGAGATGCTGACCCTAGTCGTGTCCGACCTCGCCGCCCCGCTGCAGCACGGTGGCGGACCTAGGGCGGCGCGACCTGGACACGCGTGCGAGCGGGAGAGAGATATTACGAGCGGGGGGCGTGTGAGGGAGAGAGCCTCCGTGTGCGGGACTTAGGAGTGGCCCGCGCGGTCAAGCAGGCGGTCATCGCGTCCTTTGGGGGCGGAAGCTGTGGCTTCGATGCGACCATGGCGATGAGCGCATCTGGGCAGCCGCGGCAGCGGTGCCATCTGATGTAGCTCGGGTAGTCGGGTGCAGCGGTTGGTGCTGCTCTGCTCTAGCTCGGGGCAGGGCGCGCATCTCTGAGGCCGCAGCGGTAGCCAGACTCGTTCATTTGCCCCAGCTCAGGTAGCAGTGCGCACGTATCTCAATGGCAGCGGTAGCGGCAAGCAAGCAAGGTCGAGCCGCATCTCTTCGTATGCAAACAAGCAAGCAAGGAAGCTACAGCGGCCAGCGGCACCATGCGTCGGGTCAAAAAAAAGGGAAACATAGAAAGATAAGGGATTGGGAGTGAGGGGGACATTTTCTCTGGTCGGGCCCACATGTTAGGGCTGACAAACGACTAAAACTAGATGGAAGGTGGACGGAATGGCTTGGGCGACAAAAAAGTTTAGGTGAATGGCACCTAGGTGCGCTCGAAGTTTTTAGTGCCCCGTAGGTAACTACCATCTTCTTTTTCAATGGTACACAGGTAAAACCCTCTAAGGGCTTCCACTGCCTTGCTCGCGGACACTGCACAACATCTTGCAGAGACCCAATGAAGTGCATGTGTTGTGGCTGCTTAGGCCATAAAAGTCGGCAGTGTAGAAGCCAAAGCACCAAGCAAAACTTCAAGCTTCCTCCACCTTCTTTGCCACCGCTGCACGACCCCATCGGGTTCCCCCTCTCGCACGACCGACCATGGCGATGCCGGGGGACCCTGCAGCTCATCCCAAAGAGACCTTGGCGGTGGATTTAGTGACATGTGCCATGAACGACGAGCTATCTCACCTGTCCACTCACGGAGTGGTGGCATGGCTTGGTCGACACCGTCCGATGGTCGACACCAAGATCATAAAGAAGGCCATCTGCTATACGCTCGCAGTCCGATCGCTCGATGTCTCGGTCACGAAGCACTACCCTGTGGACTTCTTCATCGACTTCAAGCACTACCACCACCGCGATGAAGCTGTGGCACTAGAGAAACTCCCCTATGGCAACCTCAACATCCACATTAATCCATGGCAGCTCCTCACGCATGGCGACAACTGCAACTTCAGTACCACATCCGCTATGCTTGGAAAGAATTCCCTAACACGCCTAGAACTAGTGTATTGCGAAGCGAGTAGTGGCAACATCACGCAAGCTCAATTATGTTGAATAACCCTCCCTGCAGTACAGGAACATCAAAGCTCTTTGCTTGTGGGCATGGAACCACAATCCATCAAACATCCCCAAGGTAACCTTGCTAACATTGTCTAGCAGGAAAGCTAATTTCCCTGATGGCGCTGCTCCTCAGCCAGCAGAGGCCAACGCGGTCTCACCATCAGGGTCCTTGTACACCTCGATCTCGTGGAAGACCCACCCAACAGAGATGGATGCATCGTCCCCTACGACTACACATGGCACTATGACACCATCGATAGAGAACTGGTGCCACTTGATTGCCACGACCCGCCGGCACCGACAACGCACAATGGCTGCCACGACAATGATGATGACGACGATAATAGCCTAGATGCCATGATCACTAGGGCGACAACTAGACCGCATGACATCCCTAGGCTACCAGTTAGCAGTAAGACCTCGCGGCCCTCGAGGGCCCTTTCTGTTGAGAGAAGATAAAAGCTACAATTGACTCAATTCCCAGAGACAAAGCACCCCGCCTTGACGGGTTCAATGGGATCTTCTTGGGACAGTGTTGGGACATCATCAAGTTTGATCTTAAATCCATTTACAATGTGTTAGGAGTTGAGCCCTAGTTGGTTAACTGGGCTGTAACCGTGCCATGGGCCGGTCTTGTAACCTCCTAGGATGTGTCCTGTCGTCGGTGCTGTGTCGTTATAAACAGCAACCGCCGTAGCGGTCAAACCATCGAAGAACTAATTGCTGAATCGTCTCCCTCAATAAATCTGAACCCCGCGGATTCAGCCGTGTTCTTCCCCAACTAAACTCTGTTCTTGCTAAACTACCCTAAATCCTTGCTATTCCTAGTCCAGTTCCCTTCCAGTTATCTGTTGTCAGAACAATTGGTATCGCGAGCTTGGTTGAATCGGGAAATTTTTTTCCGATTTCGCTGGCGCCGAAGAAGAAGCCTAAGTATCAGATCGAGATGACCGCCACGGTGGATTCGATGAAGGAGACCATGGAGGCCATGGTGAAACAGTTCTCCGGCTTCCAGGAGATGATGGCGACATCCCTCGATAAGTTGAGTGCGCCTGAGGCTTGGCGCACCACGGCGGAGGAGTCCATGGGTACGCTGCTTCAGCGCACCACGGAGACAACAACACGGATGGAGGAGACGGCGGCGCGCGTCAAGAGCTTGGAGTTTCGACCTCCTCCACCGCCCCCGCCTCCACCTCCGATCCAGTGGCAGCATCCTCATCCGCCTCCACCGCTGCATCCATCGGCGACGGGGATCGACCTCAACGTCGCGCCAGGGGCTTCGTCCAGTACGACGCCACCTTGCGTAGACTCGCCCATGGGGCCCGGCGCACGGCGGAGGGGTGCTCGGACACCCTCCGCCTCACATCGTCCACGGTACGCCCACGGGCTTTGCTCTTCCCGTTCATTCTTCTGATGAGAACTCGCATCACCATCCCCCGTTCCCCAAAATTGAATTCCCAAAGTTTGACGGCTCTAACCCTCGTCTCTGGCGCGATCAATGCGAGATGTATTTCGAGGTGTATGTGGTGAGCGAGAACATGAAGACCCGGTTCGCCGCGCTCAACTTCAAGGGAGCCGCATCAACGTGGTTGCAGACCATGGAACGCCGCGGGCGGATTACGGATTGGACGCAGCTCTGCGAGATGGTGATGAAGAAGTACGACAAGGGTCAGTACCAAAATTTGCCGAGGCAGCTCGATGCACTGCGTCAGACGGGGTCGTGCTCGAGTACAGGAGACATTCGAGAAGATTGCTCACACGGTCCTGCTGTACAATCCGGCCTACGACGACACGTTCTTCGTCACCTGGTTTGTCGGAGGCCTCAAGGAAGAAATTAGGGTACCTCTCATTCCCCACCGACCTCCGGATGTGGATACGGCTAGTGCGCTGGCACTGATTCAGGAGCAGGAGCTGAATTCCAGTTGTGGGGCAACCTCTGGGTGGGATTTCACCAGAGGCGTGGTCAAGAATACTGCCACATCTGACAAGAACAAGCAATGAGAGGGCTCAAAGATGAGCAAAACCACAAAATCTGAGTCTGACGACAAGATGGCAACACTAAAGGCATTCAGATGCCGCAACGGCTTATGCTTCAAGTGCGGCGAGAAATGGAGTCCTGGTCACACTTGTCCCGCTCAGGTGTCCTTGCATGTGCTGGAGGAACTCTTAGAAGCAATGGATTTGACGACAGTGGTTGAGGAAGAGGATACTGATGTGGACATAGCCGATGATGAACAAGAAGTGTTAGCACTGCAATCGGATAATGACAAACAAGGCTAATCCAGGCACACCATGAAGTTGTTGGCCCAAATTGGGAAACACAAGGTGCTGGTGTTAGTTGACTCAGGAAGCATCCGTACCTTTGTCAGTGAAAACTTAGTGAATCAGTTGAAACTGTCTACTCAATCTTGCAGTCCTTTGACTCTCAGAGCAGCTGATGGTGGGTTAATGCTCAGTGATCAAAAGGTGTCTCAACTGAATTGGTTTATCCAAGGCCACAAATTTACATCTGAAGCTCAAGTGTTACCTTTGAGATGTTATGATCTAATTGTTGGAGAAGACTGGTTGGAAGCATGTAGTCCCATGTGGGTGGACTATAAAATGAAGAAGATGAAATTCAGCTATGCAGGTAAGGTGATTGAGTTGCAGGGAGTGAAGGATGACAATACTACTTGTACACCTATCAGTGCTGACAAGTTGAAGGGATTGTTGAGACATGGGGCTGTTTCCCATTGCATACAGATGATTACCATTGATAATAACATTCTACAACCAACACCTGATCAGACTCAGTCTACAACATCACAGGAATTGCCTACAGAGATATCTCAGTTACTCAGTCAGTATGATCACTTGTTTGCTGATCCAGTGGGGTTGCCACCACAGAGACAGGCTGATCATTCCTCTTGTGCCTGGAGCCCAGCCAGTGAAGGTCAGACCTTATAGGTACTCACCAATACAAAAAAAACTGAGATTGAAAAGCAGCTTAAGCAAATGCTCACTCAGGGAGTCATCAGGCCAAGCAATAGCTCCTTTGCATCTCCTGTGTTGTTGGTTAGGAAGAAGGATGGCACATGGAGATTTTGTGTTGACTACAGACACTTGAATGCCGTAACGGTCAAGCACAAACATCCAATGCCTGTTGTAGATGAGCTATTAGATGAGTTGGCTGGAGCAAAATGGTTTTCAAAACTGGATTTCAGGTCAGGCTACCACCAGATATGTATGGCTCCTGGAGAAGAATATAAAACTGCATTCAGGACTCATAATGGTCTTTTTGAATTCTTGGTGATGCCATTTGGGCTCACCAATGTCCCAGCTACCTTCCAAAGCTTCATGAACATGATTTTTGCTGAATTATTGAGAAAAGGAGTCTTGGTATTCATGGATGATATTTTAGTGTATTCTAATTCATTGGAGGAACATGTGACATTGCTGAGTAAGGTTTTCAGTATTCTGGAGCAGCACAAATTTCTCATCAAAAGATCAAAGTGTTCTTTTGCTACTACATCAGTAGAGTATCTGGGCCATGTGATTTCAGCACAGGGAGTTGCCACTGATCCAACAAAGATACAAGCAGTTATCCAGTGGTCAACCCCAAAGAATGTGAAGCAAGTGAGAGGATTTCTAGGACTCACGGGATACTATAGAAAATTTATTAGAAATTATGGCATGATTAGTAGGCCATTGACAGAGTTGCTCAAGAAGAACAATCCATTATGGACTTCTACAACTGACAAAGCATTGAACTTGCTGAAACAGATGTTATGTGAAGCCCCAGTCTTGGCTGTGCCAGATTTTGCTAAGCAATTCATGGTGGAAACAGATGCATGTGATCATGACATAGGAGCAGTGCTTATGCAGGACCAACATCCCATAGCTTACTTAAGCAAACCTCTGGGACCAAGGAATCAAGCTTTGTCAGTACATGAGAAGGAATGCTTGGCCATTCTCTTGGCAATTGAAAAGTGGAGAGCTTATCTGCAGCATCAGCAATTTGTAATCAGAACTGACCACAGGAGTTTGCAGCACCTCACTGATCAAAGGGTCACAACTAAATTGCAGCAGAAAGCACTAATGAAGCTTATGGATTTGCAATTCATTATCCAGTACAAGAAAGGCATTACCAATGCAGCAGCTGATGCTCTATCAAGATACACTAACAATGGTGAAGCATGTGCCATTTCAGAATGTGTCCCTACTTGGGTCACAAGGCTTCAGGAAGGATACTCAGATGATCCTGTAGCCCAGCAATTGCTTACTGAACTGGCAGTATCTTCTGAAAACAATAAGGATTATTCACTAAAAGGTGTGATCAGACACAAGGGCAGGGTTTGGGTGGGAGATAACACCACTGCTCAAAGGGATATTCTTATTGCTCTACATGATAGTGGAGTAGGTGGGCATTCAGGAATCAGTGCTACTTATGCTAGAGTGAAACAACTCTTTTCATGGCCTGGTATGAAGAAGACAATCCAAGAATTTGTTCAGCAGTGCCAGATCTGTCAACAAGCCAAGACAGAAAGGATCAAAACTTCAGGACTCCTTGAACCTCTTCCTGTACCATCACAGGCATGGGAGATTGTCAGTCTGGATTTCATTGAGGGCTTTCCTCAGTCTGACGGTTACAATGCTATACTGGTTGTGGTTGACAAGTTCAGTAAGTATGGGCATTTTTTACCAGTGAAGCATCCCTTTACTGCTCTACAGATAGCTCAGTTGTATCTGAATCAGATTTATAAGCTCCATGGACTTCCTAAGGCCATAATCTCAGATTTATAAGCTCCATGGTGTTCACTAGTGTTGTATGGCAGCAGTTGTTCAGGTTGTCAGACATTAAGCTATTAATGAGCTCATCTTATCATCCCCAAACGGATGGACAAACTGAACGCCTTAATCAGTGCCTAGAAGGTTTTCTCAGATGCACAGTTCATTCATGTCCAAGACAATGGAGCAAATGGCTATCTGTGGCCGAGTTCTGGTATAACACAACTACACACTCTGCCATTGGGAGATCTCCATTCGAAGTATTGTATGGTTACACACCCAGACAGTTGGGAATTGCTAATCTGCACCTTTGCACTGTCCCGGATTTGGAACAATGGTTACAGCAGAGAGCTGCTTTCAGAGTTGGTCAAGCAACAGCTGTTGAGGGCACAACAGAGAATGAAAATGCAAGCTGATAAGAGCAGAACTGAAAGAGAATTTCTGGTGGGGGATATGGTATTCCTTAAGCTACAACCTTATGTGCAATCAACTGTAGCTTCCAGAATGCATCAAAAGTTGTCGTTCCGGTTCTATGGGCCATACTAGATCACTCAGCGAATTGGCAAGGTGGCTTATAAGTTGGATCTGCCAGCAAGTGCAAAGATACATCATGTGGTACATGTGTCCCAACTGAAAAAGCAGACACCACCTCCTGCGTGGGTAAGCACTGATCTGTCTACAGTTTCTACTGATCCTTTACAGCCCAGGCATCCAGTGGGTGTGGGAAGGATTACCAAAAGACATGGCGACCTGGGAAGATGAGGTTGATGTGATTTAGAAGTTGCCGTCTGTCAAAGCTTGAGGACAAGCTTTTGCTTAAGTAGGGGAGAGTGTTAGGAGTTGGGCTCTAGTTGGTTAACTGAACTTAACCGTGCCATGGGCCGGTCTTGTAACCGCCTAGGATGTGTCCTGTCGTCGGTGCTGTGCCGTTATAAACAGCAACCACCGTAGTAGTCAAACCATCGATGAACTAATTGCTGAATCGTCTCCCTCAATAAATCTGAACCCCGCGGATTCAGCGGTGTTCTTCCCCAACTAAACTCTGTTCTTGCTAAACTACCCTAAATCCTTGCTATTCCCAGTCCAATTCCCTTCCAGTTATCTGTTGTCATAACACAATGGCAATATAGTTCACCTCAATATACTTGAAGTGTACGACGGCTGAATGTATAGGGAGTTGATCTTTCCGTATGCAAAAACATATTCAGCGACTACAAGGAATTCTATTCTGATTGAACTTAATAATACAAGCAAAACCTTGATATTCAAAAACTCCAAACTGCCTTATGCAACTTCAAATAGGAGCATAGTTAGGACATGTAGTATGCAGGTAATAATATCCCTCTAAGCACTCAATATTACCATAACAACCCTGATATGCATGCTGTTTAATATCTACTTTATACCCAACACGAAATACTATCAAATAATTTCTCATGGATGAACAGAACTAAATTATATTCAAGTGACCATCCAGTGTTCGACGGTTCTTTTTCCTTGTATCTTTGTACTAAAGAAGGAATAAAAGTCTTTGAGCAACTCCACAAGATTGAGTAAAAGCAATCCCCTTTCCGTATATTGAGAAAAAAGGGGATTGAAGCCAAAACGTGCTGCAGCAGATCCCCATTCTCAATCCCTTTTCCCAATATTTTTTTCTCAAACCCTCAAAAACTCCTCTCAATCCCTCAAATGGAGAGGATCTGCCACCATTTTTTCTCAATCCCTTTTTCTTTCTCCTTCAGTCTCTGATGTCGCTGGCCCATGGGTGGACCTGCTACTGCCGTACGCATGAGCCGCTGGCGGCCGCGTCGCGCCACTGTCACAGCCTTGCTCGGGGTCCGGTTGGCAGGTGGTTAGGGCAGGGCCGGCGGCGCCAGCACTGCTTCGCCGAGTTGCTAGAGACGAGGGCAGCAGTGTGGGCTAGGGCAGAGGACGACGACGTGAACACAGGGAGAGGGGTGGCGGTGTAGAAGAGGAAGAGAGAGAGATTTGTTTAAAGAACAATGCTCCATTCCTTTGTTGAATTGAAATAGTTACAATGTCTATATATTTATAGTCCCTATATGTGGGGGTACGACCCCGGATACCCACGGTAGACCACATGGGCTGCGCCCCTAAGGGCGGCCCAGCCCACAAGACGAAGCCTTACGGGGCACGACGCTGCTCGGTGCCTCCCGCAAGACACCGAGAAGATATCCTAAAGATACTACGAGATCTGTTAGGATACGTACGATCACATGGTTCCTGTAATCTGTTATTACTTTCCGGTTATCTCCTAGATCTAACCGACTTGTAACCCTACCCCCAGACTATATAAGGCGGGTAGGGACCCCCTCCAAACTCACGCAATATCATACGATAGCCAATACAATCCAACATACCACAGGAGTAGGGTATTACGTCATACTGACGGCCTGAACCTGTCTAACTCATGTGTCTCTGTTGCCTTCTTGTTCTCGATTACACGCACATCTGTCAATCAATCTACCTTCGTGGGATATCCCTCGGAGGACTACCGATGATATTCTGTCGACAGTTGGCGCACCAGGTAGGGGTGTGTGTGTTGTTTCTATATCGAACAAGATGGTACGTTCTGCAGGCTCTTCATCCCTCCCACAGCCCTGCCAGATCTTCACGGTCGGATCGATCTCGTGGATCATCAACGCTGACGGAGTCGGAGAGCTCATCGAGCCGGTGCAGATCAGTACTGCGTCGATCACCACAACACCTGCGACTGCAGATCCGATCTCGAAACCGCTTCCGAGGTCGTCTTCGCTGACAACTCGCCGCCCGCTCCCCCGCTACCAGAGGAGGTGAATCAACAATGATGATCTGATCGCATCCATCGATCAGGTCAGCCAGAAGCTCGTCGATTGCCTCTCCATCACCAAATCGGCTCTGACCACTCTGGTTCAGCGCCGACCACCCTCCGATCCAGATCTAACGAAGGTTGTTCAGGAAACTCCAGGGGTTATGGCCCTACCCTTCGGGCTCACCAATGTCGCCGCCGCCTACCAAGATGCCCTAAGGGGCAAGTTCGCCGACTAGGTTGGAGATGTCCAACCTACCGCCGACCAGGTCACCGACCAGCTCCCGCGTGGCTGTCAACATGCTACACGTTGGCCGACGCCCCGCATCATCCCTCCAAACCATCTTGGAGGAGAATCCAGACTCCGAGTCCTAGGGCTCTACGGAGACTGTCGCCGAAACCACCGCCGAACAACTCTCTTTCCATCCTTTCCATGGAGGTGCAATCTTCAACGTCAGCGTCGACAACCCCCCGTGGGAAGGGGAAACCGAGGAGGACCACGCCACCCACGTCGACAGGAACGTCAACCGTGCGCAGCGCCGAGCAAATGAGGCTGCCCTTGCGATGGCCGAGGCTCAGCTTGACTCACAAGGAAGGCCACGTCAACTCCACCGCAACCTCGACGATGAGTTTGTACGTGTTGACGGCCACAACGTCTACAAAACCCTAAGCGCTAACTTGGTCGTGGCCGCCAATGAGCTCGCCTGGCTCCCGCAGACACCGGAGGTTGCCAAGGTCACCGCCATGCTTAAAGCGGTGCACTGCCAGGTCAACGAGATCTGCCAAGATCAGAGGCCTTCATACTCCATAAGCTCGATTCGTCGATCAGCCACGCCAAGATCTGATCGCCGCCCAAGTCGTTTCACCGACCAGCATCGCGACGACAGACAACCCCTCCAGGGGGGAGCTAGGGGCAACTGCATCAAACACCTTCGCCAACACGACCAGGAGGTCGACTAGGATGTCTGAGTGCACCTCAATAATCTCTGAGACGCGCGACGACGTATCGACGAGCGCCGCTTTGGTCGCCATGAAGAAGTACGCTGCCATCAAGAGTACGAGCAAGAGTATAGTAACTCAAACTCAGCTCTCGAGCCGCTCAACGCCGACAACGCTACAGATCACAGCGCCGACAACCCCGAAGGGCCCCCAACATTCACGAGGGCACTCCAAATGTCCAGTGGCCCCGTGGTTTCAAAATCATTGGGTCGAGCCATATGAGGGAAGGATGAACCCCACACAGTGGCTACAAGCTTACGCCACTGCTGTGCGCGCCGTCGGAGGAGATACTAGTGTCATGGTGAACTATCTTCCCGTCATGCTCACGCCAACCGCCATGAACTGGTTCACAAGCCTTGCCCCGGACTCCATCTGATCCTAGGAAGAGCTGAAAAAGGTCTTCACCAACAACTACGTGGCTACGTGTACTCGGTTGGGCACCAAGCATGATCTGAATCGCATCTACCAGAAGCCGTCCGAGCTCCTCCATAGCTACATTAGACGCTTTTTCGAGATGAGGAATTCTATTCCTAACATCACGGAAGCTGAGGTCATCACTGCCTTCGTCCGAGGACTCCATCACCGCGACCTCCGCTCTAAGTTCAACCGCAAGCGGCCAACGGGGATTGGTGAGATGATTACAACCACCAACCAGTACGCCGACGCCGAAGAAGCCAAAGTGCGCTTCAACGAGGATGCGGGCACTCATCGCCCAACTCGCTGTAGCGACGATCGCCCCGATGATCGGCGCCACAGCGACCGCCGCTACGACGACCGCGGTCACCATCAGGATAGTGGTCGTGATCGGCCAGAAGGATCCAAGTCTAGTCAATATCGCCGCCGCCGACCAGACCATATCGTCGCCGCTGTCGACGAACCTCGCGCCAAGCGCAACTACGACGAGCAATACAAGAAGATCCTCGACGGCACGTGCCCTCTCCACAAGAACGCCAAGCATAAGATGAAGGATTGCCTCGGCTTGGCTAAGGAGTTCTAGGCCAAAAAGCCGGACGACGACAACAACGACGGAGCCGAAGGCCGCCGACCACCTGGAGGCAACAACAACGCCTTCCAGGATCACGACAAGGTGGTCGCCACCATCTTCGGAGGCCTCGCCTCCGCCGAAAGCAGAAGAGAACGAAAGCTCACTGCCCGCTGGGTGCTCACCGTCAATGCGGAAGACGCTGTCGCCAACCCCAGCTATCGTCCCTAGTCTGAGGTCCCCATCACCTTCAGTAGGGCTGATCAGTGGGCGAATATTCCTTACATAGGGTGTTTCCCCCTCGTCCTCGACACAACCGTCCAGAAAGTGCTTTTTAGAAAAGTGCTCATCGACGGCGAGAGTGCTCTAAACCTCCTCTTCGTTGGGGCCCTCAAGGAGCTAGGCCTCGGGTTAGGAGACCTCACACCCTCCGACTCCTTCTGGGGTGTGGTACCTGGCAGAGCATCCAAACCGCTTGGAGAGATCACCCCTCCCAGTGCAGTTTGGCACGGCCAGCAACTACCGCGTCGAACACATCAACTTCTACGTCGCCGACTTCAACACTGCCTACCACACAAATACTTGGTCGGCCAGCTCTGGCTAAGTTCATGGCCGTACTGCACTACACCTATCAGGTGCTGAAGGCGCCTTTGCCTGTAGGAGTTCTGGCCCTACGGGCCAACCTCTCCATCGCCTACGCCTACGAGACAAAGAGTCTCGCCCTCGCTGAAGCCACCGACCTCTCCATTCAGATGGCTAGTGTGGTCACCGATGCCAAGATGGTGCCCACCGACGACCTGGAGATCCCATCGCTGGAGCCTCCTCGCGCCTTTGCCAAGTCCAAGGAAACCAAGGAGGTCGGCCTCGGCCTCGACGGCCCCTCCAAGACAGTGAAGATTGGGGCTCACCTCGACTCCAAATAGGAAAGCGCGCTCGTCTCCTTCCTACGTGTCAACGCCGATGTGTTTGCTTAGAAACCTATA